TTCTTAAATTGAAAAACATATTTTTGCCTGTAGATATGAATACCAAAATGGTGTGGCCTTCTGTTTGGTCACAGTCTCCTTTAGCTTTATAGTGTTGGTTCGACCTTGTTTTCGCAACTTGGTCGGAGCGTCAGAGAGACCTTGTAGAACTTACCTAATTCGGTGTCCTCTTCTAGTGTTCGTAATTTCCAGCATTGGGCCAGCATTGGAAATAACGAATACTATGACAGAGGCTCGGGACTAGGTACGTTCCACAAAGTCTCCCTCTCATCAGGTTTACGGATCAATATATATATCAAAAAGCATATTGAATTTGCATAAAAAAGTACATGATTACGTTTGCGTTATCACAAGGTATTAGGTCTTATCTGTTGTGATCATACTCCTGACAAAGAGATAAAGGGTTAGAGACAAGTGAATCAAGAATTGCCTCATAAGAGATCAAGATGGACCAATCTAGATTAAGGTAAGACTAAATCTAGCAGATTTCCTCATTTTGCTAAGTTTAAGTATTTTCCAAAGTATATATGTGAGCCCATTTGGGAAAGGATATGTTGAAGACCACTTTGCTAAAAACAATTATCGAAATAATACACACGATAGCGGAAGAAAAGAAGTATTCTCCAATAATCATCATGTAATATAAATAACTCAAAAATGACAGCTCACATTCATGAAGAAAAGATATATGAGGATAAGAATTTTCAGAATAGAGTAATTACTCATTCATCTTCAAGACACCGGAAATATTAAATGATTTAACCTTGCTTATATAGATTTTATAGCTGTTTGAAAAATACACGTGGTTTGTAGCCTTCGTGAGGTTAATACAGTCAGAACATTGTCATTCTTAATCTTATCATAGTTTTACCGTGAAAAATGAATATAAGTGCATATTTTAGTAGAATATTTCTGCGAAAATATTTAAAGAGAAATCTTTATATCTATATTCTTCGCTATATTGATTTGCGAAAGCACTCTTGAAATTAATATAAATTAATGATATAATAAACGGAACACATAAAAGCAGTGCAAGTGAATACGCTAAAATAATGAAGGTATGAAGACCAAGATGGTGTAGCCTTTTGTGTGATCGCAGTCTCCTTTCGTTGTATATAGGTTGTTTGACCTTGTTTTCGCAACATGGTCATACTGGTAGTAAGACTTAGAGGAACACGCCTAATCCTGAGTCCATTGTATGCATAATTATTTCCAAAGTCGGACCGTGGACGCGGTACATTCCCAGACGTTTCACCGGAGTCCATTGTATGCATCATCATTTCCAGAGTAGGACCGTGGACGTGGTACATTCCCAGACGTTTCGGCGGCATCGTCAGTGATTCCGCCATTCTTAGCACCGCACAACAACTCGTCAAAGAGACAAGTGAAGCCGATCATTTGATCAAACGTGTGCTAAACAGTTGTGGTATC